TGGGTTGAGCCCACTGGGGATGTGTACAGGAAGCCAACAGGATGGGAATCTAAAGCAGCCTGATTCCCAGATCCCTGGGCAAAGGCACATCATCATTTTCTCTGTAGGTGCAGGCAAAAGAGCCAGCCTCAAAAAGTTCCCCTATTACCACCCAGGAAAGCCTGACATTCCAATTTTCTTGAGGAAAAAATGTGTGTACAGCAAGTCTGTTGATCACAGATCACTGAAGAACACTTTCAGAATTTTTATAATTCTTCATTTTGACATATTCTCTATACCTACATAAGTATTCTGCTTTATTTTTCTTCTCTGACTTTACATTAAATGTCCATTTATCATCTTTTTGCAAGAAAAAGAGTCCCAAGAAGTCAAGGATTCAACTTGCTTTGTTCACTGCTGTGTCCCCAGTGCCTCTTATGCTGCCTGCACATGGTAAAAGGTCAATAATGATTAGTTGAATGAATGAACAAGTGAATGTGGGAATACTAAAACCGAACCTCATAGCCACTAGGACTAGGCTCACAGCACACAGCTGTTCTACGATCATGTGATTTGTTATTTGCAAACCCATAGCTTGAATTTTGGAGCACTGATAGGAAAAAGTTTGGCTACTCAACTCCAAAAATGTCCACACCTGGCCAAGGAGTTGTATCTCTACAAAGTACCTTAAGTACAAAGACTTACAAACAAACATGAAAGCTATTCAGGTCAATTTTGTTGACAACATAATAACTGGAAATAATTTATAATAATTTGGCATTTATAATTCAATGTTGAAGGATATGATAATGTCTAAGAAAACTATGGCATATCTTTAATACAGAATGTGATGTAGCTATTAAAAATGTTTCCATATTTGTTAAATGAAAAAGATAAAGTAAATGGGTCTGGGTTGTGGCTCAGTGGCACAGCGCTTGCCTTGGATATGTGAGGCACTGGGTTTGATCCTCAGCACCACATAAAAAGATATTTTAAAAAAGATAATGCAAAAAAGATCATTTTGTGACTTGCTCATAATTTAACATTTTTTTCTAGTTTATCATTAATCCATGTAATAAAAATGTGCAGTAGATAATCCTACAAAAATCATATCTATAGGATATGATTATCCTATAGAAATAATCATATGCTGGGCACAGTGGTGCACACCTATAATCCCAGCAGTTCTGGAGACTGAGGCAGGAGGATCATGAGTTCAAAAGCAGCCTCAGCAATTTAGCAAGGTCCCAAGCAATTTAGTGAGATACTATCTCAAAATTAAAAAATAAAAAGGGTTGGGGATGTGGCTCAGTGGTTAAGCACCTCTGGGTTAAATTCCTGGTACCAAAAAATACTCCTCAAACCCAAAACCAATCTTCATGGTGCTTCTCTCGTCAATTACTTCTTGCATGAAAAAAAATTGTTTTTCAAATAAAAATATATAATTAAATTGACTTTGAATATGTGGATTTATGTAAAAAATGCATAGGCGAGGGTGGCAATATCTAGTGAATGACAGAAAATGGAAAATGATTTTAAAATATCCTATACTTTTTCCTTCTGTTTTTGGATTTTTCTTCTATTCTTATTTAAATGAGGCTTTACATGGAAAATGAGTCTAAAAGAGATAAAAATAGATAAAAATAATAAAACTTGCTTTTGAACCTCATTTTGTATTTCCAGGTTGCAGAACTCCTTTTTTTTAAAAAAAAAAAAAAAAACTAGGAATTAAATCCAGGGGGCTCTTTATCACTGAGCCATATCCCCAGTCCTTTTTTGTATTTTATTTAGAGACAGGGTCTCACTAATTTGCTTAGGGCCTCGTTAAGTTGCTGAGGCTGGCTTTGAACTTTCGATCCTCCTGCTTCAGCTTCCTGAGTTGCTGGGATTACAGGTGAGGTATGTGCAACTGTGCCCAGCATAGAGCTCTAATTCTTGTCAAAGTAAGATCTGCCCTCTAAACCTTTAGGCAAGACAAGAAAGGAGACCAGATTGCACTGGGACCACAGAGTCAACCAAGGAGGCATTCTGCAGTCTTTTAGAAGTAGCTTTATCCCCCCCAGGTAGGACATGTAAGACCAAAACTGCTGAGATACCCTGTAGTGGCTTTCAAAGTGTATATATCATCAAGCCTGGAACAGTCTACTCATACAAAATGTAATTTCACAGCAAACAGGGAGAACCACAGAGCTGCTGTGGGTGTGGGGAGTCTAGAGTCCCCCTGCTGGGAACTTCTCCCTGGGGCTGGTGGGTGAGGATTAAGGAGATGTGGAAGCCCCCTAAACATGAATCTCCTCCTTACACAGACAGGAGGAAAGGAGGACAGATAGGGGCAGGGAATGTTCAATATCACACAGGTGGCCTGATTAAAATAGTTCAGCTGACTCATGCTTACAATGAGCACAGTTTTCTGAAGAGAGATCACAAGTATATGCTGAGAAAATATAAAAAAAAAAGTAACAACATACAAATGACTGGGAGAAGTGAGATCCCAAGTTTGAGATTAAAATATTATTACCCAAACCTGTTTCTCTATATCAAAGGAATTCTTATAGCAGAGGTGTGGCTTGGGAAATAGGGTTTTCCTTCTATTTGAATTTTAACTTGAAAACATTTTGGATGCACAGAGAAAAATATAAAAACTACCACAGATGCTTGTTAATTTTTTGTCTTCTTTGTCATATATATTTTTATATATATTTAGGATACATAAAAATATACTCATATATAATATATTATATTAAACATACTATATATTATATATTATTACAAATATTACATATTTTATATTATATATTATAATAAACATATATATATAATATTTCTTTTTAGTTCCATTCATCTCTTTCCCTCTTCCCAGAAGCAAATGTTTTCATGAATTTAGTCTGTACTCTTATGTTTTGATAAATATATTAACTTTCTCTACCCATGCAAACAATTATTAAAATATTAATTAAAATTAAGTATATAAAACTGAACTATGTGACTTCAGTTGTTAATATGCTTGCTTTAAGATAACAAAAATATTTATTTTCTGAGAGAGTAATCTCAACAACTTCAAAATTTTGAACTAGATTTCTAAAAATAAAATTCCTTGAATTTCTCAAAAAAATGAATATTACCAATTCTACTATGGCTTATTTTATTCTTTGGATCTTTGTGCAGGGTCCAACTGATTCAAACTTATTCAACTTTTGGAGTTTGGGTTGTTTGCTTAACTACTCTACTAACCAGAAATGGCTCTTAAGTCAGCACTGAGAGAAGCAGACGGGACAGAAGAGCTCTAAAGCTTTAAAAGGATCTAGAAGATCCTTTTAAAAATGGACCAAAGCACTGATGTTGAAGGAAACAAAGACACAGAATCTTGTCATCTGCATCTGCAAACATGAGAGCAGATAGAGAAGATGTTCAATTACACTGAATAGGTAGAGGTATAATATGTTTTAGAAAGATTTCCATAAAAAATGATTGAGATCTATAAAAATTTCTAATGCTTTGGGACTCCGGGAGTCACAGAGTTCCGTTTTATATACCAGCCTTGGCATTTACTTGTTGGAAGACTTAACCTCTCTATGTACCCAGTGACTTCCAGTAAAATAAGGATAATAAAAGTACCTACTGCTGAGAGATGAAGGGAGATGCTCTACTTAAGACATTAGAAGCAAGCACTCAGCACATGGTAGCGGCTAGCGTTAGTAATAGTAGTGGGGGCAGCAACAGTAGTAGTAATGGAACTGGCCCGTGGGGAGGAGGTCACAAGTTGGTATGTGGAGAGAGCAGATCCCTGGCAGCTGGATCCTCCACAGCCCTTTACTGTCTGGGTGGCTGTGGGGTAAGGACCACGGAGGTTCTGCAGCTGCTATGAGGCTTCAGCGGGTGTGGAGGGAGCTTAGTGCCACCCACACAGGACACGCTCAATCAACATTAGCAGTTACAAATATTCTACATACAGAATGCCCTGGTGTTCTTAAAGCACATTCTATTTTTGAAGTGTAGCATCAAGCTCACTAGTTCCTCATAAGAAGTCAAGGGAACCAGAGGAAGGATCTAACTGCACTGATTAGTTTGTCAAGGAGTAATGTGTCTGGATGCAGGACTACCTGCAATCAGGGTTGCAACAGAGCCCTTAGAAGTCGCAGCTCTGCAGATATAAAAGACAAAAAAGGTCGGTTCTTTTTCCTTGAAAGGGGTGGCTAAGCTTCCTGTGAAATTTTTACTGATAAGAAGATCACCGAGAAAGGAAAGTTTAGAAGATGCTTTTAAAAATGAACCAAAGCACTTTCACATACATGAACTCCTATGTCCTTGAATGAACCCTAAGAAAAAGGAGGCATGGTCCTCATTTGTCAGAGGAGGAAAGTGAGATGCAGAGAATTTAAGTGACTTGCCAAAGTTAATTACTTTCCTACTAAGAGGAGAGTCCAGCCAGCACATACCCATTTCATGTTCAGAGGTTCGATTACCAGTGCACGGCCCTGGCAAGTGCTCACACACGCTTGCCATGTTGAGGCAATTTCATTTTTTCTGACCCCTTTTATTACATTAGCTGTGATCAGCTTAACACCAGACCCCATAGCCTTCCCCACCTACCACACCATATGTGGGGTGTGAGTGTACACACATGCACATGTACACACACATAATCATGTGCTGGGACAGCTGAATGTATTTTTAACCTCGTCTTTTTTCAGAGTACTTTTAAATGATGAAAATATTTGAATTAGGTTGAAGACTGATGTGATTCAAATTCAGATTTTAAGGATGCTAAATCATTTGTTGGACTGAAAACTGAGAAGTGGTTCTGTCCCAGCAGAGGGCAAAGAAAGGTATTCTGCTTTAAGCAAATTATGTTTTGTTTTTTTCCTAAAGAGATGATCTAATTTCTTTTATAAAGGAAGTGCAAAAGAACTTTGTTGCTGTCTCCAGCTGTCAAGCGGCTCCCATACTTTTGCCCTCCAGCAGAAAGGAAGGGACATCAGGTGACAGACCCCAAATTTCAACTAGTCACACAAATTACAGACCTTCTTATCAAGATGTCCTTTTGACCTTCTGCCTTTCACCTACAATGAAGAATGAGACACAGTTTAAATAAAATGACTCTCATGGGCAATTTTACAAACAAATAGAAGCCTCGGAGTCCCTCTGCCGACTTCCCTGCCTCCCCCATGGGCCAGCCTGTTCCCTCTTTCCATGCAGGAAGTTGCTAATGATTGGAAAGAACTTTCCCAGCCCCTCTGCTTTTAGGAAGGAGTCTGGCAAAAATAAATATTTACAAAAACAACTATAATCAAATGCCAAGTCCCACTTCTAGGGAATGCTAGAGAAGAATTTATAAGAAAGGGCTTCTCTGTGTGGCACTGCTCTGGCCAGTAGTGAAGCCTGATCAAAAGTCTGAACTGGCTCTATCCAAAAGATGGGCATGTTGTATATTTCTCTTAGCCCCCCACCTGTTTTCAGTACTGACACTGAACGCAGCAGTGCTCTACTACTGAGCTACATGCCACTCCCCCCTGCCTTTTTTTTTCTTTTTTTGGAGACAGGGTCTCACTGAGTTGCCCAGGTTGGCCTCAAATTTGTGATCCTCTTGCCTCAGCCTCCTGAGTTACTGGGATTACAGGTGTGTGGCACTGTGCCTGGCTCTCTTAGCTTTTTAACTTCCATGCCCAGAACACTTTCAGCAAAGTATACGAATAATTACATTTACCATTGAAGTTTCAATTCAGAAATGTTGTACCAATCTGGGACCACAGGGAGAAGTCTTTAAATATTACTGCTTCTAGCAGTAGGAGAAAGCTTTGTGAAGTCAACAGCGGAAATTAAAGCCAGGGCTAATTAGCATTTAGAAAATATGTCATAATGTTTTTTTTTTAAAGTTGTTTTTGAGATAAACTTCTTACCGGCTAAAATTCAGTCACAATATTTGTATTACCTGTAGATCTGTTCTCAGTGCAACTGTGGGATCTGAACGCTTGAGCAGGGTGAGAATCAAAACAGGTGCCTGCGCCTGTTCCATTCTGCACATTAGCCCTTGGCCTTCTCACAGCCTGTTAAACAGCTGAATTTGAAACAATAATGGTGCAGGCCAAACACTTGCCTGAAGGCCTGTCTGTCTTGGGATTTGGCCATTTACATTGATTTTTTTACCCACATTTTTCATGTAACACAAATATTTGCCATGGCAACTAGGGTGTCACATGACATGCTGCTACATAAACAGCTTGGAAACCTCTGAAGGGGAAACAGCCACCACTGCTGAGAATACAGCGAAAACCTCCTGAGGAAGATGTGGTGTTAGGAGATGAAGGCCTGGGAGGAGCAGGTAAGCAGGCTACTCTGGAGACACAGCAGGATACATTTCCTCAGCCTTACTCTCCAGTGTCTCTTTCTTTTTTTATGAGAGCAGCTGAAAACGTGACCACATGGGGTCAGCCAGAAAAGACATTGCCAGCTGTCTCCTTCCTGTGGCAAAAAGTTTCAATGATCATAAGCCTGTCCGTGGCCCATAAGCATAAGAAAGCCAGCTACAAAAGTCCAGCACTTTTGAACTGGGGACATCTCTTCTTGAGGATGGATTTCACTGGACTGTGAGGTGCTGATGTTAAGGAATACAGAATTGCTGCTTCTTCCTCCTTAGGAGGTTTTCTGTGCACAACTGGAGGTCTTGCCTTTTTAGCCTATGCCTAAGGACAAAGCCTCACAATGATATGCCCTGGACAACACCAACTTGGATGTAAAGCAACAGATAATATATCCTGGACTCCTGGACCCCAGACCGGTTAGCAGCATAGGCTGACTCAGCCCCTTCATCTCATAATAATGAATTTCTTAGATCCCAGTGATAGTGTCCTGGTGGAGTTGACTTGTACAATCACCACTCCTTTCAAAATCAGGGACTGGAGATGTAATTCAGTGGTAAAGCACTTGCTTTGCATGGGGGAGGTCCTGGGTTCAATCCCTAGCACTATAAATAATAATAATAATAGTAATCATCATCATCATCATCATCATCATCATCATAAATTAAATGCATCCCAATGGCAACTGAAATAATACTTTCTGTGTGAAAGGAACCATTATATAGTATGTGGCTATCACCCGAATCCTCACAAACAATATTATAAATAAAAAGAATTTTGTTTCTGTAATTAGAAATAGGAATACCTTTAATTTTTGTTTCTTGTGAGACACCTCTACTTCTGCTGGAGCCGGCGGTGGTTTCTGAGGTTCATAGAAGGGGGCTGTGGATGGAGGTGGAGCAATGTTAACTCTTCCAGAAAGAGATTGAGGCACTGGGTGGATGTTGTTGGGTTTGCACCTTGAAAGTCAAATGGCTCTATGGCCCCCCATCTGCTCACTCTATGTCTTTCCTATATGCAGTCAATGAAACATCTGTGACCCTGGCTTCAAACAGAAAGCCAAAAGCAGGGGGTGGGGGTGGAGAGCAATAGCACCAGGTCAGCCTGCCTTATGCAAGCTGCCGAGATGAAAGTTTAAAAGCAGACAAATCAGAGCAATGTTTCTCTTCTAAAATGTTTTACTGTAAGATTTCCTTAAACAACCAGATTGCCACATTCATGTGCAGGATAATTGATATAATTGTATATTGTGGACTATTATAAAAGATGATTCTCAAACATTTAAATGACTTGGAGGAGTGAGACAAGTGAATGGCACCATAAGGGTTATTTTAATTATTTATATTATTTTATTATAGTTAATAATTCTTGCATCTCAATAATTCCATAGTTAATAGTTCTGGCATCTCAATTGTACTCAACCCCCTTTTCTGTCAAAAGAATTGATAGATGTCAATAAAAAGCAATGTGTTGGTAAAGGATATCTATATATAATTTGGAAGTTCACTTTGAGAACTCAGTTCTCACATTACCTCAAGTGGACTACAAGAAAGTTTTCTGCCATCTTTCAAAAATTTGCAGGAATTCCAGAGCATTGAAACTCACCTCCATACAAGGGATTTATTTGTTGCATCTGGCCCTCTCTGGTTTCCCTCTTCCAGGAAGCCTCCCTGGGACTTGTGTTCCATCCCCCACCCCGGCCCCCCTCCCCGCACCTGGTCTGTGCGCCATGGCATCTGCAGACCCCACTTTAAGCCTAAGTGGTTTGCCTTGACTTCTGCACTAGCCTGGTCTGTTGTCCATTTTGGACTTTATTCCCATGTGAAAATAAGATAGAAGCTGACAGGTTTGCAACTTTTAAAGAATTTTTGTCAGATTTTAATAGAATTTGATAGGATAAGGATCTTGAAGATTAATAATTCCACGTGTATAATCCACAGTTGATGGGATCTCTAAGAATTTTCTTAGTTACCTAAATAAATGCTATCACTAAATTATAATTTTGTACAGGCTTGCATTTTGTGGAACATTTGCATTTGGAGAATGTGTCTGCATCTTTAATAAAATATTAAGTCACTTCTTTTTGCTATTCAATTTACCTCCTGGAAAATGTTTATGATAAATATTGCCAGGGAGTGAGGGGGGGTAATGTCTTTTCTGGACAAACTCATGTGCCTCTGTAGTAGTCATCTTTCCTTCTTCTTTGCTAATTTTACAGCCCCAAATTTTTTCAGGGTGACAATATTCCTAGCTTCCATAGTTGTCAGATATAGCAAAAAATAAAGAGCACAGTTAAATTTTAATTTCAGATAAACAGTAGAAGTCAAATTTAATATATCTAAATATTAAAAATACTTAAATATCTAACAAAGAAGATCAGAATTTTCATGATGTGTCAGACTAAGCCTAAGTATCTAGCATAAGTATGTTCCTAATCCTAATTCTAACTCAAACCCTTCCCCTGGAACATTCACTTTCCTAGCCTTCCTTAACCGCAGCCTTGTTACCAGTGAAATTTAAAAGAAAGCATACTCAAAGGTTTCTGGGAAGAGACATATACCACTCGCTTCCTCTTCTTTCTTCCTGGAAAGTGTATGTAAGGCCCAAATCTGCAGGAGCTATCTTATAACACTGAGATAGCTCACAGCAGTGTGGGCCATGGATCTATCCCAGTGTTGTGATGGTATTGGCAAGCTGTGGGCTCAGGGTGTGACACAGCTTGGTGACATTAGTGCTACAACGTGTGACATAGGAGCTTGGGGCTGGTGCATCCAGTTCATACAGGGCTGGGCAAAATCCTGTAGTACCTGACTACACACCACTAACTGTGATTGAGGCATATGGATCTACCCTGGCCCAAGTGAAAGACTTGTTGGAACAGACTATTCTTTCTAGGTACTGTTCTGTTTCTTTCGGAACAATACCCTAATAGTATATCTGGGACAAATGTGGGCTTGGATTGTCCTCTAATATTGAAACAGTGACAACACACCACCAGCAGACTCCCAGTAAATATGGACCTAGGTGCCATCCAGTGCTGAAATAGTAAAAGTGACTACAGGCTCAGAGAAAATAAGCAGCTTGCTTAGAATGTCTGGAAGTATAAACACAAAGCCAGATTAGGAAGACTAGAATAAATATCCAATTCTTCATTGCCAGATTATGTCACACACCAACAAGCATCAGGAGCTTCTAGGAAATCATGACTTCACCTAATATTTAAAATAAGGTGCCAATTTGCAGATAAACGGATGAAGTTGGAGAATATCATGCTAAGTGAAGTAAGCCAATCCCCCCAAAACAAAGGCTGAATGTTCTCTCTGATAAGTGGATGCTGATCTATAATTTGGGGGGTTGGGCATGGGAAAAATGGAGGAACTTTGACTGGGAAAAGGGGAGGGAGGAAAGGGAAGGGGACATGGGGGCAGGAAAGATGGTGGAATGAGATGGATATCATTACCCTAGGTACATGTATGACTGCACATATGGTGCAACGCTACATTGTGTACAACCAGAGAAATGAAAAGTTGTGCTGCAATTGTGTACAATGAATCAAAATGCACTCTGCTGTCGTATATACCTAATTAAAATAAATAAATAAATATTTTAAAAATAAGGTGCTAAAATAGGATCAGTGTGGAAGAACATTCAAATAGAGAATTTAAAATAACTGTTTTAAGGAAACTTGATGAGCTTCAAGAAAACACAGAGAAATGTTTCACTATTCTAACAGAGAAATAAAGAGATGAAAACAATATTTTTTAAAAAATCTTAATTTTATTAATTTATTTTTATGTGGTGCTGTGGATCAAACCCAGTGCCTACCATGTGCAAGGCAAGTGCTCTACCGCTGAGCCACAACCCCAACCCAAGATGAAAAAAATTTTAAAAATCAAATTATTGAGGTGAAAATACACTCAATGAAATTAAAAGCAAGATAGAAGGCATCAGTCATAGGACAGATCAAACGGAAGAATTGGTCAGCTCAAAGAGAGGCTATTTGAAAATATACAATTGAAAGAGAAAAAAGAAAAAAGTGACAAGAAATGAAGAAAGATTATGGGAACTTTGGAATAGTATTGAAAGAGCAAACATTCAGATTATTGGGGCTCAGAAAAGATTGAGAATGCCAAAGGGGTAGAAACTTATTCAATGGAATAATAACAGAATACCTCCCAAACATCCAGATACAGGAAAGTCATAAGGCACCAGTCAGGGGCTGGGGTTGTGGCTCAGAAGAATGATGCTCACTTAGCATGCATGAGGCACTGGGTTCAATCCTCAGCACCACATTTTATATATATATATATATATATATATATTTTTTTTTTTTTAAAGGCACCAGTCAAATTTAACTCAACCAAATATACCCCAAGACAGCTTATAATCAAAATCTCAATGGTGAAAGAGAAAGAGCAGATTCTCAAGGTTGCAAGAGAAAATAAACATATATAAGGGTGTCCCAATTCACATGACAGCGGAATTCTCAGCAGAATCCTTATGGGCCAGGAGACAGTAGCATGAGATTTTCACAGTACTAAAAGGAAAAACAAAAATAAAACTGTGAACTGAGACTATTGTATCCAGAAAAACTACTCTTTATAAATGAAGGAGGGATAAAGGCATTCCCAGACAAACAAAAGTTGATAGAATATATCTCCACTGACCTCTTCTCCAAGAATTGCTAAAAGAAGTTCAAACTAAAAGAAAGAATAAGAAGAAAACAGGAAAGTATAAACTCACTGATAAGAGAAATTATACAAATTCAGAATGCTCCAATATTGTAAGCTTGAGAATAAAACATTCACATCTTTAGTATTAACACTGTAAAACAAAACAACTAAAAATAATAATAGCTACATTAAATGTTGGGAGATAGGCAATATAGAAAGACATATATCAAAATTGAAAACGATTATCAAAAATTCAAAATGTGGGGAGGAATGAAGTGCAAATAGAAAGTTACTAGTATATTTCTCTTATCCTTTGTTTTTATTCTTTACAATCATGTTCAGTTGCTATTACTTTAAAATACTTTACTATAATCGAAAGATATTTTTGTAAGTCTCATAGTAGCCACCAAGCAAAAATCTATAATAAGCAAACCAAAAATTATAAGCAATCAATCAAAGCACACTACTAGAGTAATTCACTTAACCACAAAGTAAGACTGCAAGAGAGAGAAAGAAAGAAAGGAACAATAACAAAACTAGAAAATAAGTTGCATAACAGTGATAGTAAAATCTTACTTATTGATAATTATCCTGAATATAAATGGACTAAATTCTACAGTTAAAAGACAGAGTGAATGAATGGATTAAAAAACAAAACCAAACCTAACTATACGTTACTTGCATCAAACTCACATCACCTGTAAACATTAGGTTGAGAGCAAAGGGATGGAATAAGATATTTCATACAAATAGAATCCAAACTAAAGCAGGAGTAGCCATACTTTATCAGAGAAAACCAATTTTTAATCAAAATCAGTAAAAGGAGATGAGAAAGATTGTTATAGAATGATAAAGGAGTCAATTCAGCAATAGAAGAGAAATAACAATTCTAGCTATGTATGCTCTCAATATGAGAGAACCCAAATATAAAAACAAATATTAAAAGACCTAAAGGGAGAGACAGACTCCAGTACAATAACAGTTGAAAATATCAATAATCCACTTCCAGCAATGAATGGATCATCCAGGCAGAAAACCACCACCACCACCACTACCAACAACAACAAAAGCAATAGAGTTAAATTATACTTTATACCAATTGGACCCACAGATATCAATAAAACATTCCATCCAACTGCTGAAAAATTCACATTCTTCTCCAGTAATGGAACTTTTCTGCAGAATAGATCCTATGATAGACCACAAAGTAAGTCTCAATAAATTTTTAAAAGCTGAAATCACACAGCGTATATTTTCTGACCACAGTGCAGTAAAGTTAGAAATAACAAGAAAAACTTGGGAAACTAAACAAGTACCTGAAAATTAAACAACTTACTTTGGAACAACAAATGAATCAAGGAGGAAGTCAAGAAGGAAATTAAAAGTTTTCTTGAAATAAATGAAAATAGAGACACACCAAAAGCAATACTAGCAGGGAAGTTTACAGCAATCAATGCCCACATTGGAAGAAGTACAATGATCTCAAATAAACAACCTGCTGCTGCATATCAACGAAGTAGAAAAACAAGAACAAACTAAGCCTAAAATTAGTAAAAGGAAAAAATAATAAAAATCAGAGCATAAATAAATGAAATGGAGACTAAAAACAACAACAACAACAACAACAACAATAAAACAATATAAATGATCAAACAAAGAGCTGATTCCTTGCTGGTTCTTCAAAAAAATAAACAAAACCTTTAACTAGACTTAGGAGAAAGAAGCCTCTAATAAATAAAATCATAGATTAAAAAAGGAAAGATTACAACTGATTTAACAGAAATACAAAAAGTCATTAGAAATTATTATAAACATATGTACCAAAAAATTGATGATGTAAAAGGAATAGACAAATTCCAAGAATGTACATCTTACAAAGACTAAATTATGAAGAAATACAAAACCTGAAAACATGAACAAACAATAACAGCAAGATGGAATCAGTAATAAAAAGCCTCCATCAAAACAAAAACAAACAAACAAAAAAAAAAACCCAGGACCATATGGTTCCACTACTGAGTTCACTGCTAAACATTTAAAGAACTAATACTAATTCTCCTTAAGTTGTTCCAAAAAAACATAAGAGGAAGAGGAAGAATTCTTCTAAACACATTCTATGAGGCCAGTATTGCTCTGATAGTAAACCAGAAATGGATACAACAACAACCACAGAAAACAAACAAACAAATAAAGAGAAAAAAAGAAAACTACTGGCCAATATTTTTTTTTTCTGGCCAATATTCTTGATGAACATAGATGCAAAAATTCTCAATGAAATACTGGTAAACAAAATCCAACAGCACATTAAAAAGATTATTCACCATGTTCAAGTGAGATTAATCCCAGGGATGTGAGGATGGTTCCATATGCACAAATCAAGAGCTGTGATACACTATGTCAAGAGAATGATGAAAAAATACCCATGATCATCTCAATAAATGCAGGAAAGGCATTTGATAAAATTCAACATTCATTCATGATAAAAATGATGAATAAATTAGGTATAAAAGGAACACAGCTCAACATAATAAAGTCCATTCATAATAAAACAATGGCTAATGTTATACTGAACGGGGAAGAGCTGAAAGCTTTCTCTCTAAGATCTGAACAAGACGAGATGTCCACGTTTACCACTTGTATTCAACACAGTTCTGGAAGTCTTAGGCAGAGTTATCAGGCAAGAGAAAGAAATCAAGAGCATTCAAATTGGAAAAGAAGAAGTCAAATTGTCACTGCTTTTAGATTACATGATCTTGTATGTAAAAAAAAAAAAACCCAAAAAACAAAAAACAAACAAAAAAAATCCACCCCTACAAATTAGAACTAATAAGTGAATTCAGCAAAAGTTGCAGAATACAAAAATCAGCAGCATTGCTATATGCCAATAGCAAATTATCTGAAATAGGAATCAAGAGCACATCCTATTTACAATAGCTACAAAAAAATACCCGGGAGTAAATTTGACCAAAGAAGCAAAAGATCTCTACAATGAAAATTGCAAATATTGATAAGAGAAACTGAAGACGATAAAAAACAATGCCCATAGGGCCTAAAGCAATTACAGATTCAATACAATTCCTATAAAATAACAATGACATTCTTCCCTGAACTGGAAAGATAATTCTAAAAAATTTATATGGAACAACAAAAAAACATGAATAGCAAAAGCCATCTTAAGCAAAAAGAATAAAGCAGGAGGCATTGATTTCAAAGCATACTACAAAGCTGTAGTAATCAAAACAGCATGGTATTGGCATAAACACAAACATTTAGACCAAGGGAATAGAGAGCTCAGAAGTAAACCCACACATCTATATCCAACTGGTTTTTGACAAAAGTGCTAAGAACACACATTAGAGAAAGGACAAGCTTTTCAATAAATAGTGCTGGGAAAATTGGATATCCACATGCAAAAGAATGAACCTACACTCCCGTCTCTAATCAGCTATAAAGATCAACTCGAAATGGATCAAAGATTTAAACACAGGACCTGAAACCATAAAACCACTCAGAAAAAATGGCAGGGAGTGTTTCAAGACATTGGAATGGGCATGGGTTTTTTGGAAAAGATCTCCAAAATACAGAAAACAAAAGCAAAAAATAGACAAATGGGATTACATCAAACTAAAAAGCTGTGTACAGCCAAAAAAAAAAAAAATCAACAGAGTGAATGGACAACCTACAGACTAAGAGAAAATGTTTGCAAATTATACATGTGACATGTTTGATACCCAGAATGTGTAAGGAACTCCAAAAACTCTATAGGGGGAAAAATTACAATGGACAATAGATCGGAAGAGACATTTCTCAAAAGAAGACATATGAATGGCTACCAGGTACATTAAGAAATTTCAGCATCAATAATCATCAGGGACATGTAAATCAAGACCACAAAAAAGATCACTTCACCCCAGTGAGAATGGTTATTCTCAAAAAGACTAAAGATAAAGAGTGCTGGTGAGCATGTGGAGAATAGGGAACTCTTGCACATTATTGGTAGGACTGTAAATTATGAAAAACTATATGGAAATTCCTCAAAAAATAAAAATATGATTATTATATGACCCAGAAATCCCACTACTGGGTACACATCCAAAGGAAATGAAGTCAGGTGACTGGAGAGACAGAGACATCTGCACTCCTGTGTTCACTACAGCACTATTCGTAGTAGCCAAGAACTGGAAACAACCTGTCCATCAGGTGATGGGTGGATAAAGAAACATGGACAACACGCACAGTGGAATGTCATTCAGCCATAAAAAGAATGAAATCCTGTCATTTGCAATAACATGGATGAATTAGGGTTAGGGTTAGGGTTAGGGACATCCCTGTGTTAAGTCAAGTAAGCCAGGCATAGAAAGATGCATGAGCCACTCATACATAGAATCTTAAAAAGTTCATCTTGGAGATAGAAACTGAGAGTAGAATGGTGGTTACCAGAGGCAGGGGAAAGAAGAGGTGGGGATAGGATGGGAAATGTCAGTCGGTGGGTCCTACGTGACACCTAGATAGGAGTAATAAGTTCTGGTGTGCTATTATTGAATAGTAGATAATAATAACTTATTGTACATAAAAGGATTAGATAAAAAGAGTTTTAAAGTTTTCACTATATAGAAATGATAAATGTTTCATGAGACAAATCTGCTTAACTTGATTTAAACATTATGCAATATATACATTTATTGAAACATAACATGGCACCTCATTAATATGTATGATTTTTGTGTTAGTTAAAAAATAAATTTAAAAAATAAAATAAAATCCAAGGAAAACATGGCAGGGGAAAAAATTAATTTAGGGCAGTATCATGCACAAAAAAAATGTAAAAAATTATAAACAAACAGAGTATTAGCTAATGAAATCCAGACTTGTTACAACTAATTGGGAATAAATAGAGTGTCTTTTAGATCTCAGCTCAAGCCACACTCTTCTGAGAGGCATTTCCTGGCCCTTCCTCCCTTTTCTCACTCTTACCCATATCGTTTATTTCTAGCATGTATCATTAGCTTAAATTCTCCTTTACTTACCTGCTTATTGTCTGTGTCTCCCACTGGAACATAAGCACCATAAGAGCAGAAATGCTGATTTACCTTAAAGTTACTTTACTCGTTAACATAAAACTCAGGCTATTTGCCACTTTCATCTTGTCCTATTATTAAGGGTTAAAGTTGCCCACTAGTAGGGGAGATTTTGTGGGGAGGCGATTTCTGTGTAGCCCCAACCAAGCGTGGAGTTGGCAGTGTCTTACCAGAGACTGGAATCTTATGCGATTCATCAAAACTGTGCAGAGGAGCTGCTTTGGGCCTAATGGGTGGATTCCTGAAGGTAATCTTTGCTGTTGGGGGGATCAATCCTCGTTCTATCATGTTTAAAATCCCTAAGAAAGAAGATTAACAGAATTTGAGGTTAATTAAGTCATTTCACCAAGTGTGATCTCTATAAACTTCACAAGTGTAACTTACCATTCGTCATCTTATTTGTAAGGGTACAGCTAGTGCCTTAATCCTTTGCATAAAAAAATATAGCTAGTAAGCGTTCATTTAAGCTTAATATTCTAACCCAAGGAAAATGTCATTTCCAGTAGCAGTAATATGAAATAAAATTGCACGAAGGTAATTTCATTTTAAGGTAGAAATATAATTTCACAGCAAACTAAAACTTCTTGTACTTATGACATTCTCAATCATTGGTAATATTGTTGCTCTTTTTAAAATTCAGAGAAATTGGGCACACATTCTTAATAACTAAGGAGATTCTTTGTTTGGAAAGAAAGAAAAGAAAACCTGTATGCTTGAAACCATGCCCCTGTTGTTAAAATCAGTCATACTTTATCAAAGAAGGAGTTATCTCCAGACATTTCTCATTTCACCAGAAGATATGAATGCTCCAATGGGTTATTTCAGTGTAACTGAGCAACCCCGTTAGTATTAATGCAACTAATTTACAATTCCTAGAACCCATACTGTGTCAGCAAGGCTGGAGCCAAGCCTTTTTAAGGACAAGAGACATTGTTAAATAAGTAAGCAAATGAATAAATCAATGAATATATGAATAATTGAACAAAGCCTGCTGCTGGGGGCAGAACTTTCATTAAGGTAGATCTATTGTATCGAAGCCAGAAACCCAGAAACTTGGGGACTATTTGTAATGAATTTGTGGTAGGATTTCAGTTTCTCACTGTTCTATTACATAATAGAAAGGAAAATTAGGAATTCTGGATCTCAACAAATTCCTAGTATACAAATGGTATACCAAGCTGGATTAGTTGAAGGAGTTGTCACTCATTCTAAGTATTATTTCCATTTGCTTTAAGACCTCTGTGACTATATTTTTTTGCTTTTAAAGATGTTAGTTTTGTGTTTCAGGAATTCAGAAGAATCATCACAGAAGGGTTGGAGAGCTGATGAGGACATTGCTTATCAAACAATGATTCCAGAGAGAAATCTCCAGTTTACCTAGAGCAGTTCACTTGGAGGAAGATTTTCGTACTGAAAGTGAAAATTCCTGGGCCCCATTTCAGAGTCGTCCTAAAGCTTGAGGTCAGGGCCTGGGGATCTGCATTATTGGAGCCTCTAGGAAGTACTTAGGAACACCGAAGTTTGAGAACCACCAGAATTGGGGCCCAGTAACATATGTGTTAAATAAACACTCCAGGTCGATCTTTCCTACTTCAAACTTAAGAACTACTGATCCAGTGTACAACTCTTTAAACCCTCTTTTAAAGTAGTAAAAAGGTTTTAATTTTTATAACACTAGAACTGGTTGTAATATGTTCTTTAAAATAGCAATGAGGTAGGATGGGAGACATAAGGAGAGGCAAAAAGGGGATCTGCAGGACAACACAAGAGTGCTATGATTTAAAGTCCACTTTCACTGGATTAAAAGTCCAGATTTAATGGTCACTTTCACTTACCTTGATCACAAACAACCTATTTAATCATTGATGAGACCTCATCCACAGGTACACCAAGGGAGTACTGTTCAAAGTCACAAAACAGAATGCATCAAAAACAAAAGAACCCCTAGTCAGTCATGGTGAACATGTCCAGTTACCAACACAAAGGGGAACTAAAAATACCCTCTTCAGTCTGTACTATAGATTTTACGTGTATGAATTTGCCTCGCTAAGATCGAGCTAGCATTTCCCTCCCTAATGCTGGCACTCCACCCTGTGTAGTGATACTCTCACAGAGTGTATTTCTCTCAATAAAATAAGTGTGTGCCTTTCTTTGAGCTGTTCCTGGATTCCTTTCTGCAAGGACGTCAAGGAGCTTCATGGCCTGAGTCAAGGTCCACCTCCCTTGGAGGAAACCTCCTCAGGCCCCCTGTCCCAGTGACAGCAACATTAATTGTTTGTCTTCACAAATATTTCCCACCTGTAAATACCCAATCTCTGCCTAAGAACTATGCCTGTTTTGCAGAGGTGAGAAACAGAGCTCCTTAAAAATCATTATACTTTAAAGAGTCAGTTTCATTCTCTGAGAATTTTGAAGAATATAAGTATGATTTTAATCTTTGCCTTGGTACTGGGTGAAGCAATTTATTTAATTTTAGACAAATATGTATAAATTCATAACTGGAAGGAAGAAGTTAAGACTCTGATATAAGCAAAAGAGATTAGGGGATTTTTTTTAATGGAGACATTGGAACTCTGAAGATTACCTGATGCTATAGTGTTGTACTTTTGTTTAAACTGTCTATAATTCTGTAAAGATGAAGGTTTAAAGTGTAGATATATGATAGCAATGAAAATAATTTCTGTCTATACACATGTGAGTAAGTTCTGTCACATGGAGGACAACTCTTCCATCTGAGAAGCCAGTTTTGCATCCATTTGCAAATTTATTTCAATATTCTTGATTTGTAAATATGTCTTATTTGTATATTGTGAATCAACTGTAACATCTTACTAGTTGTCTCATTTAATTAATGAGTTAAATATAGTTTTTGAAATGTTCAATTTATGTAAGAGTCATGACTTTACTTTTTTAAAAAAAATCATCCTTTAACAGGTTTGGAGGATCCACTAAGATAAGCCAAGAGTCACCCGAAGTCATCAGAAATGGTGTCACAGACACCAGCCCAGACACATTTTTTTTTTCCTTGTCTCCCACAGGTGAATTCAAAGTGGTGATAGAACTTTGTTGAAATTTGTTTTTCTAACTTTAATTCTATTCTCTATTATTTTGCTTTTCTTTTTGTTTCATTTACAAATGATGAGTTATTTCCTGTTGGTAGCTGCAGTGATTGGAAATTTGGAAATCTCTGTAAATGGATTAATGTATTCTAGAGATCTATTTCCCTGCTGGGTGAAAAGCGATAGAGAATAGATTTGGTTAGTGTTCATCTATTGTGAGTTAAAATCAGTTAGGAATATATGCCCAGGAGGAAGGAAAACAACTTTGATACTGTAATTCTGTAGTGTTCAGTTTTTGTATTTGTGTTTACTTTTCAGCTGTGGCTGAAATTGAAGAATTTCAGGTGTACACGCCCTGGATCTATACGTGTGTGTATGTGTCACTCAGAAAGCCCGTTACCCCTCATTGTTAATGTAGGAGGTTTTCTTATTTCCAGAAAGCATTCTTAAATTAGAGCATAAAAGCCTTAAAAGGAGCTCTGTTTTGACTGGCTTATAGAGATAAATAAGGACATACAATAAATTAAATATTCTTCAAATTATCAGAAAATTAAACTTGTAATTCTTTGAGCTCTCCCTGCCTCCCTCAATTAGAAACTCTCATTGAATCTCCTTGCTTTTCATGGCAACAGAGTAATCTGCATAGTTACAATAAGGATCTGTTCTCCTTTTACAAAGATATAAATGGAAAAATCACTTATGCAACCAAGGCCTTGCATGGAATATTTGAGAATGATTTTTATTTAATCATAATGACGAGTCACTTATAAAGGACTGAGGTTGACTTTCTGGTGCCAGTGTTAACAAAGTCCTCCCAGAAAAACTAGTGTGGTACACGGCTAATAGGATTTCCATCGTGGTAAGGAAGGCCACATCCTGCAAGCCCAAGAAGCTTGGGATATTTGAAACAGCTCTAAATAGAAGACCCAAATTTATAGGTCCTTCAGTTGGAATCTGGAGAACAAAATTTCTTGGCCTTGACTTACCAACCTTAGGATAGCAAATAATAAATGATTTTAGAAGTTCAGTCTGAGATTCCTTATGAAAGCTTTCAGCAAAATAAGCTTTAGGTGTCCTAAACAGTAATTTAACATTCTTGCTTCCTCAGTGCAAATAACCCAGCCAAACCTAACGAGACCAGCCTTATTTTGTGAATAATTTTGTTTGAGATAATTTGAAAGAAAGAAGTAAAGATGATAAACAAGTTTTCTTTTTAAGTCTTGAAATAATCAAGAGAGATACTGGATGTACAACTATAATGAGATATCACAATGTACAACTATAATGCACCAATAAAAAATGTGGGGAAAAATAATATTATTAAAAAAAAAGAAAAATATTGAATACATTTCAATGGAATGCTGGTATCTCCAGCAATTGTCTGAACTTTGGTATTGACTAGGCTATTTTACAACTCTGTAGATACTAAGGTTAATTTGAAAAACAAACAAACAAACAAAAAGTGAACAATAATGCAAATAAATCTTATCTACATTCATGAAAATAAAAATCTTTGGTGAAGGATTCTCTCTCACAGAAAAGCCAATTTTGCATCTATATGCAAATTTATTTCAATATTCTTGATCTACAAATGTGTCTGTTCTTTGAATTCTCCTTTGAACCAATTGTGACTTTTATAGATTTCCTCTTTTAATTGATGAGTTAAATAAAATCTCTGATATATGTTTATTTTTATTTGGGAGTTATGATTTTACTTATCATCAAAAATTGTCCTTTAACACCATTGTTTTATTAAATCCTCAGATCATTCTCACTTTCCTGTTGAATAGATTAGGAATTGGAGATTGGTTCTTTTTGTTATTCATTCAGCTAGTATTTCTTTCTCCAGAGCCTGTTACATGTCAGGGACTGATCTGAGGACTGGGGAATGCAGTGGTGAGCCACAGAGACTGCATAGACTCCAGCAGCAGAGAAGACATTAAATGAATTCACAAATACATGATTAGAAAATGTGATAATCTATGAAAATTAAAAAGAGTTGATTGCAGAAGTGGCTTTTACAGGTTGAGGTCAAGGTTAGGCATTCATTTTCATCTGGAATGTGATTGGCCTGATAAGGGGCAGCAAGAAGACTCAAGTGGCTAGACCTGGAGAGAGCCGGACCAGTGGAGAATAGGGACACAGGTGAGGCCTGGGCCAGGCATGCCTTGATCATTTTTAGTCTTTATTCTTTTTTTTTTAATTGCTTTTATTTTTTAAATACATGACAGTGGAATGGATCACAATTCTTATTACACATATAGAACACAATTTTTCATATCTCTATTTTTATATAAAGTATGTTCACACCAATTCATGTCTTCATACATGTACTTTGGATAATGATTGATGTCCATCACATTATTCTAAGGGTTAGATGGTGACCTCTTGCCTGAGGTCATACAGGGCCTGAATTGAAAATTTAGTCTGTGTACCCATGTAACTTGGATTCTTAACCACTGGGTGTTGGGGTGGGGGGCACTTTCTCTTTTTGGATTTCGCCAGATAATTGTTTTTAAAGTAAGGAAGTTTTATCGTGCATTTTCCAAAATGAGTTTCTCTTGTGGATATTGTTTATGTTTCCCGAATGCTGAACTTGCCTAGCCCCAGGGGTAAGGCTTAAATGACATTTAAGCACATCAAGAACACCTGAAAAATCTTGACACTCAAGCCACATTTCTGTGGCTTGTGCTTTCCTGATGCTCATATTACCTTGCATAGTACCAGACATATGACAAGGACTCTATAAATATATGTTGATTAATTGGCTGATTAATTACAATTATTATAGTAGACCATGTGTTCTTTGGTAGATATTATAGATATAAAAATGCAATTTTTTTCTTGACCAAGTGGCTATGATTTACCTTTGTTTTGTAGCATCTTTTTTATTTGTTAAAATAAGGATTAATTGATTCATTCATTCACTGTTTCTATCCTAATTTGATCTAGAGAAAATATGCGATGATACCAAAGCAAGAAATAGAAATTCTGCTGCTGTTACTCAGTATTCCCAGGGCATAAGCTAACCAGAAATTATGTCACAAAGATTCCTGAGCAATGGCTCAGAACTAGGAAATAGTTACCATTGTAGAACACTTGACAAATTTACAGACTTGTATTGATCTTGGATTCCCCACCACAGTGGATGAGAGGTCAGCAGACAGAGGCAACAGTAGCCAGGAGATAGAATGTCCAGGCACCAGAAAAACCCCTAGGAACCAACTCTGGGTCCTAAATACTCCAGATAACAAAGATAAAGTGAGATAGGAGTATCTAAAGACCATCCTACCCAGTTGTATTTGAGACAAGAAAAGGGATCTACTTAGGCTTACTTTTAACACTTCAGCCAATTAAATTGAATGGTAGGGAAAAGTAAAGAGGGTTACACAATGACATTCAAACCTTAGGCATTCATTCACTTACTCTTTCATTTGTTCATTCATTCATTCAACAAACATTTAGTATCTACAAAATGCTGCATATGGTTGTAGGCAGTAAAGGGATAAGGAGATAAAGATGATATGGTCTTTTTGCTTAAAATCTAAAAATCCATTGATTTCACAACACCATAATCTAGATTAAGCTATGCATAGCTTAAATGCCAGTTACATTAATCCTGACTTCATGTTTCTGCATAGTAGAATACTGAAATAAAATTTTAAAATGCTCTCAGAATAGCACCAGAAATTATTCAGAAACTTGATAACTTCTAATAATACCAGATAAACACAATAATTATAATAAATAATAACACCTAAATCAATAATAACATCTAAATCAATATTAAATCCATGGAATGATGGGTTTTAGAGGAGGAAGGGACTCTCGTGACCATATAGTCCAACCTATTGATTTATAGAGGAGGAAATACAGGCCAGTGCCAATATCTGACTTGCCACTTAGGAAAAGCAGTGACTGAGCCAGAGCTCAAACTTAGGCCCTGACTACCTCAGTCCCCTTCCTTACATCCTTAAACACGTAACATGGCTCCTGAGTCACTAACCTTTACTGGCATCCTTTTGTAAGACTGGTATGGGGATGAAATAGGGATCCGTGCGATGAGAAGAGGGCATAACCGTGAGGTTGGGTACAGTGGACCCTTTCATTAACTTCTGAGCCTTCACCTAGTTGATAAAAAAAAAAAATTCGTTTTCAGCAGACATTTTTGCCTTCACAATGAACACAGTTTTCTTCTTGTAAACAATAAATAAGGTTATGAATAGTTTCATTAAGTTTTAATAAAGTAGCAATATCAGCTCTGATTTCATTGCTCGTGAGTACCCTGTGCTATTGTCTATTGTCAGGATTTTGTGTAATTTAAAATAGTTAATTAAATCCAATTAACATGTGGTGATTTTCACTATGCAAAGTCAGTATAGTAGTTAATAAAGGAACTATTAAGATTTTGTTCAATTTTAATGACTACAATATAAAAGTGCTAAATCTTAACCCAGGAGGTTTTGAATACAGCAAAGTTTTGTATAGACACATTTCCTAGGAAATAAATATTAGTTTTGAGGTAAAAAAATAAAATGAGAAAATTTAAAGATAAACATATCATTCAAAATTAACAGGTTAAATATAAACACTGAATTGACTAGTGCAGATCTCAGAAACTATTAAAGATATGATGTCTATATCAGTCACAGGAGCTAATTACTTTTCCTAAAGCCACAAAATGCTTTTATTATAGTTATGAAATATGAATTATTTCTATTAAATGGTTTCTAGATTTTAAAGATTATTTGTATTGTATATAAATCACATTTAATTGTATGGCCCAAGTACACTATTTTTACCTTTATGATGGGAGATTATGAATTACCTGGGCCTCTCAGCAGGGAAAATGCAAACTGTCTGGTATTTATAGACTGATTTAAATTTTCAAGTCATTTTCCAAACATTAATTAATTTGCATAACTTCCAAGGAAAGTAGGTAATGGTTTGCTATTTAATGAAGAACTCAAGACTGAAAGTTAGTAGACTTGCTTCAGGTCACACAGGGTGCTAGATGTACACAGATTATTCTGTTTTAACATAAGTCCAAGTTCACAGTAGTGAAGTTTGCTACTTGACTCAGACTTACCAATGTCTATGCTGAAAGGTCCTCATTAAGGCGGGAGGATCTTGAAGAAAGGGAAATTACTCTAAAATCTTGCAGGGGGTGGGGAAGAAAATCACTTTACAAATTAAGTATTTATTGACTGAGAAATACCTGTGTGGACAGGTGTTAGGAGAGACCCTGCTGCCAGGATGTGGTTTTGAGGGGAAACTCTAAAGCAGCCTCTACCCCTATGAACGCTGAACTCCGCTGACATTTAGCAAATAAATAAATGGAATAATATTATGTGTGTATGTGTGTGGGGGGTGTTGTTTTGGGGGCTCAAACCCAGGGTCTCACAAATGCTAAGCAAATCCTCTACCAATGAGATATTCCCCAAGCCCACAATAAATAGTATTTTAGTAGGCAAGTAAACACAGTCTCCTTCTGGGCGAGTTGGAAGGGGAAGAAGGGTCCCTGGATGCGTGGGAGGGAACTCCAGTGTCACTGGTTGCTCTTCCTCATCCTCTGCTCTCCCCCCCCCCTTCTCCCTTCCAGACACAAGTAGGGTCCAGGATCTCCTAGTCGGGGAGGCTGAGATAATTCCCCAGTGCGCTGCACCCCAGGGGCAGTGTATACATAGCAAGGACCTACAGTATCAAAAAGGGTAGGGTGTTTGTCTGACTGATATTAGGGTCAGTGAAGCAAAGGCAAACTGAAGGAAGAGAGAAAGATGCCACTTCCATAAAATTGTCAAGCACTGTGAAGATGTAAAATATAGGTTTGGCCGACTGAAAGCCCAGAGCATAATTTATCTGGGTTTTCTGAAAGCCTTTGATAAAGAACACCTGACAACGGGGCTGTTGAAAGCTAAAGTAGCAGGATCCAGCATAAAACAATGTAAAGAAGGACACAGAAGGGGGGATGGAAATCAGGAGCTGTCTGGATTCTGCCTGGGAATAAGTGCAGCCATAATGTTGCTTTCTTAATTCTTTAAATTGCATCAATCTAAACAATGTAAAAACCAGACCCAAGGTCTATGCTGAAAAGACAGCAAGAGGAGTGTGTGTATAGGGGCAGACAGGGAGGGTTGTAGCTTACAGAAATAAAATAAATCCCTCAGACAGTGTCACTAGATGTGAAACACCCACCATTCTATCCCATTCCCACGGTCAGGATAACTGCTTCTGCATACGCTTGGTTGGAGGGAGAAGGAATACAACAACCTTCGGTATTTACTGAGCACTTACTATGTAACACTAACTTTAATACAAAAAGCATTAAATTTCACGAGCAATGGAAAAGCTAAGGGCTATGGGAGTGCAGAAGAGGGAGCAATTAACTGCCTGCTGGTGCTGCAGAAGGCTTTCCAGCGACTCTCCGCCCTGACTGGAAATTAGGATCACTTGGGGAGCTTTTTAAAAATACTGCTGCCTGGGCCCCAACCCTGGGCAATTAAATCAGAATAGCTGAGTTGGGGCCTGGGTCTTGGTATTTTTCTAAAGCTCCCCAGGTGATTCTGATGTGCAGCCAAGGTTGAGACATACTGCAGTGAATGATATTTAAAATGCATCTTAAAGGAGGCATCGGGTTGCATTAGGTGGAGGAGAAAGTGCAGTCACTGGTAGAAAAAAAGATAAAACCACAGGATGAGGGGCTGGGGCTGGGGCTCAATGGTAGAGCGCTTTCCTCCCACATATAAGGCCTGGGTTCGATCCTCAGCACCACACAAAAATAAATAAATATATATATTGTGTCCATCTACAACTAAAAAAAATATTAAAACAAAACCAAAACCCAACATGAAGGCTTCACCATTGAGAGGAGGAAAGGAGCGCCATGTGGCTGGACCAGTGGGCACTAATCAGGAGAGGGCTGGAGAAGAGACTGGAAAGGGAGGTTGAGAAGAATGCGAATTAAAGGCAGCTTGATGGATGTACTCATTGCCTAACAAGTTCAAATATCATCTTCTTCTGTGCTTTATGTTGTCTCTTAGGATGCTTTGTAGTTTGTGAAATATAACATGAAATCTTGTATAGTGATATAATAAAAATATCATATTATAAAACAGCCATGTTATAAATAGAACAATGTCTTTTATATCTGCTCCTTCATTACTATTTCTAAAAATGAAAGCCAGAACTTTATTGCTTTATGACTAAATCTTCTACAATAGCTTGTAATTTTCTGAAAATTTAAAAAATATATAAAACCTGAAAGAAGAAAACAGCAATCATAGTCTCATCAGCCAAAATTAAACATTGTTGGTATCTTGGTATATTTGCTTCCAGTGTTTTCAAATAGAAAAAACATTCTAGTTTATTATTCCGGTACAGATGATATATGCTCATTATAAAGATTCCAAACAATGCAGAAATATATAAGATGAAAGTTTAAGAAACCATGCCAGATATCATTAGGAGATCCATCATTCCTGGTATCTTTAAAATGATTGATGCATCAATGTAAATAAATAGGATTTCTATTACATTATTAAATTTGACATGCATTTATAGGACAAAAAAAGAGCTGAATTAAACTCAACAAATTATTAAACCTCAAATATTTCTTTAGCACAAGGTTTCTTTGAACTAAGGAATGTCCTCTGCACAGGCTGGCAAGTTTTTTCTTAAAGGATCAGACAGTGGATGTACCAGGCCTTTGGGCTTGGTGCAGGCCTGTCGGTATAACTGGAAACCAACAGAGAGTTTGGAAATAAAAAGGTGAATCTGTGTGCTATGGTTTGAACATCTGTGCCCCCTCTGATTCATATGTGGAAATCTCCTCTCCAACGTGATGATATTAGGAGGTGGGTTTGGGGGAGGCAATTAGGTTGTGAGTGTGGAGCCCTCAAGGATGGGCTTCCTGCCCTTACCTAAGATAAGGCCTTGTCTTTTCCACCAAGTGAGAACACAACAAGAAGTTGCCATCTACAAACCAGAAAGCAGGCCCTTACTAGACATCAAATGGAAAAGCTTTGATTTTAGACTGCTCAGGCTCTAAACTAGGAGAAATGAGTTTCCGATGTTTGAGCCACCTAGTTTATTTTCCCTCGTTATGGTAGGCTGAATGAACTAACACTGTATTCCAGTGAAACTTTATTTACAAAAACAGGTGGTCAGCCTTCAGGCAGTAGTTTGTAGACCTCTGTTATATGGTTAAATAAAGGTAATTATGAAAAACATTTGGAGTTTTGTTGCCAAGTGTCATTACTGTGGACAGTTTATCCCAGCTTCAAAAGATGAGAACATTAGAGTTCTCTTGGGACTCCCACCTCCTCTCCCTCACCACCCAATTTTGGGTTATTGTTTCTACATTTTTCATATTTATAATATTCACATTGTGTTTTGATTCCACAATTGCTGTAGTTGTTTCGTTCTGCTTGTACATGAATCCAAAGCTCACCAACAGTCTTTTTGTCATATGTTTTCTATACTAGAATTCTTTATTTTGATTGATTTCTTAATAGACTGGTTTTGGTTATCAAACAGTTATTTCCAACAAGTGTTCGTGGGTCCTTCACTTGCCAGAATCTTTATACCTGACTTGCCCCTGGAGTCATCCTTTCTGTTTTCTAAACTTTGTGGACACTTTCCATTGTCTTCTATGATGAATATTGTGAAATCTGGTGCCATTTTTTTTTTTACCCTTTGTAGGTGATTTAACTTCTTACTGCCTGGATGTCTGAAACATTTTTTTTTGTCTTTGAAATTTACTTACCTATGAAGTAATTTATGTTAAATATTCTAAATAAAAGTTTTCTGGGATTCAGTGTTTTCTTTCCACCCACAGATTCAGTTCTTTCTTTACTTTGGGAAAATTAATATATTAATGACTATATCTTCTCTTTCCTTTCCTGGGTTCTCTGTTTTAGAGACACCAAGTATCCTTAGGTATGGCTCATCTTTGGTTTTCATATTGTGGTACCTAACTATTCATTCTTTACAGCCTGCTACCTTTCAGAATAGGACATCCAGTTTTAGACAAGCGCATGGCTATCTAATTACAGACCACATTTCCCAGTATCTCTTATGGCTAAATGTGAGTATGTGACCAAATTCAGGCCAATAAGATGTCAGGGGA